GACGCAACTCTGCAGAATGACCAGGAAGGTCTTTTTCAAATTCACTGAAGGGCAAAGGTTGTCCATCTACATAATCAAATAGTATCAGTATCAATCAAACAAAGTGAACATCATTAATGTGATATTCAAGCAAGAAACGTTCTATAACGGCACCGCAAATCGTTTGGTATGGCGAGATTTTGGCTCTCAGCCATGGACATACCGCTATGATACGAACGGAAGTACAGCACCGGAACTTTATATGAAGGACTGTATATAATGTGAAAATCATAGTGGTTTACTTCATACTCTGGACCTAGAAGAAAGGAACAAATACATTATATAAGTAACTGGGAAGGAAGAGTAATAAAATTGCAAAGAATCCAAATTCATGGTATGCGATAAAAGTATATACTAGTTTAAGAATACCAATTAGGCCATACAAACTAAAGTTGCATCATCAAAAGGCTCTTCTGCCTCTGAGAGGTTGCTTTCTTCTTTCCATGCAAGACTTCTATTGCTCTCTTCTACCTGTAATAACAATGATAATTACAATTCAAAAATTAACATAAACTTCATTTCGTGTATGTTTGAACTGACAAAGTTTGACATAATCAAGGTGTGTCACTACAACTTTACAAAAACTAAACTTTGAAGCTTCAGTAAAATCAGCCATCAAATTCATTGTGATGTCAAATATGCACGTCCATGAAAATTAGTTTTACACTAAATTGCTGACAGACCTCACTGGATTTGACAAGGCACACATTCTCAAGTGATAAGAATCCTTCCACCTGACAGAGAGGGAGAGATATACAAATAAAAAAAATTTCATGACAGATGCTAAGCATAGAACAAGGCACTGGATTTGTGAATTTCATGTCAAAGGAGTCACCTTAGGAGAACCCAAATGATGTTTTGGACAAGTGGTCCAGAGATATGGAGGAAAGGATGGATTAAACATTTTCCACTTGTCAGAAAATGTAGCAGCAGAAAGAGTAAAATCATTTAAAGAGAGAGTTCCATCCCAAGGTATTTTGTTCTTAACAGATTCTTCAATGTCCATACCCCTACAAAATAGAGGCACATTTATTTTGTTATGAGTAAAACAATGAAGCTCAAATAGTCCAAAAATGGAAGCATAATGTTATAATAATTTAATCAAACATCAAACTAGCAAGACTTTTGAATTATGGCTGAATTGCTTTAAACAGCTCAAACTATTTTTAGAAATTGAGTGTGTTCAAATTTGAACTGAAAGGGAGAGAGAATAAAAGGAAAATTCTGTTATTGAATTTTCTGAATCAAATATTTGTTACTTACAAGAGATGATAATGCTGCTATACATAGACAAACATAAGTGCACTGAGTTATAACAAACTCAGTGCCAGCTCAACATCTTTGACAGCTCAGCATTTTAACTAACTAACTAACTACTTTTATATTCTAAAATTATCGTATTCTCTAATATCTTCCCCATAACCTGACGAGTCTTCTATGTTGAAACTGCCCTAGTAGAACTCTCTTCGGTCAAAGAGATTTTATCCATTACTTTGAAATAATCTCTAAGGGTTAAAAACCTTAGAGAAGAGAGTGCCTTAGTAAGGACATCAACAGTCTGCAGAGTGGCTGGAATGTGTGCTTCACAACCAGCGTTTTGTTGATAACTTTCTCTCTTAAGAAAAAATATCTAACTACATATGTTTAGTTTTGGCATGAAGCACCGGGTTATGGGAGAGTCATAGCACTATGGTTATGACAGTAAAGAATTGGTGGAAAAATGTGCACTTTTAGCTCAGAGAGCCAGAGTACCTCAGTTGTTGTGCTAGCTAAAACATTGTACTTGACCTAACCACAAGAGTTTGTTTTCCTAGACCACCATGAAACCAAGTTTGGGCCTAGATAGATGACCAGAGGTAGACTTTCTGTTATCTGGATTTGACCCCAGTCTGCATCAAAAAAGGCAGCGAGAGCAATGGGCTTGTCGGGTGTTGCTGGTAGAAGATGCAGCCCATAGTGCAGAGTGCCTCTGAGATATATCAGGATCTGCTTGACTGCATTCCAGTGGCTCTCCAGAGGCTGTGAAAAAAATTGGCAAGCTTTGTTTACTGCAAAGCTGATCTCAGGCCGTGTGAGAGTCGTCACCACTTACCTGTAGTAAGTTGGATTCTAAAGGTAGTCAGACCCATCCTTAGTTAATTTAAGATTGGATAGCATGGGAGTAAGAAGTCTCTTAGCTTCACTCGGGTTAATTTTGGCTAGTAAATCCGTTAGATATTTGGTTTGAGATAAAAATAGACTCCCACACATCAGCAAATAGTAAATCAAAAGGTGCTTTATAGTTAGAAGTAGATGGAAAAGATCTCTATGCAATCAAAGCTGTCTTGCTAAAATACATAGTTACTCACATATGTAGATGCATTCTCAAGGTGTACTTGGATTTTTCTGGTTAAATCTGTCCAAATAGATGGAGGTGGAGAGTTTCCTTTCTTGCTAAAGATTGATATGTCCTCACACTCACCATCAACATGGTACTGTCGAGAGAAAACATAGGCATTTGGTGGAAGTTGGCCTAACAATTTTAGCGCTTCTTCTGCAACTCATAAGACTGCAACATCGTTTCATTCTACTGCATCTCACAATACTACAACATCCTCTAATTCTTCTTGCTTCACACAACACTGTAGCTCACAACAATGCAGACTCCTCCTCTTCTCTTGCTTCTCACTATGGGAATTCCTCACCTCAAACTACTACTCCATTTGTTTCCTCTTCATCCATCCACTTTAGGATCCTAAATGGCTTGATGCTATGAAAGTTGATCATTCATCTTTGCTAAACAATCACAGACTCTTTAATCCTATTCCTCATATTTAAGCAAAATCATGATGGTTCAATCTTGAAGTACAAGGCTGGGCATGTAGCTAAAGGATATCACACAGTGCAAGGCTTTGACTATCAAGAAACATTCTCTTCAGTAGTCAAAACAATTAATGCAAGAGTAATATTGATATTAGCTATCTTTAGAAAATGGCACGATGTGAATAATGCATACTTGAAGAAAAGTCTAGATTCAATAACCACCTAGGACCCGGTTTGAGAAGGTCTAATAAAACTGAGTTTTTGTCCGCTTATTCTTTTTAGATCTCCTAGTCACTCTTTAAAAACAAATTCATTTTTTATCTCATTCATCATTTGAATTAACTGATTAATTTTTGGCCTTAAATAACATCATTTGAATTAAAAATTATTATTATTTTTAGAGTATTTTTTTTCATCCAGAAGATTCTATTAATAAAGCCATTTTCTTGGAAGACTCCTTCAATCGGTCGGTCCCAAATCCCACCAAATTATTAAAGAAAAAATAGAAAACACTGATTAAAAATATAATAATAATAAATACACTTATTTAGAAAATTAATAATATAATGATAAAAAATAATATAATCATTATTGCTCGTGATTTTCTTGAAATTAAATATTTAAAAAAATGTAAAAATAATTTTAATTGATGGTTAGTTATAGAAAAACAAGGAGAATATAAACTAAATGTATTTTGCATTGTTTTGAGTCAAATATTTTGGAAAGGAGAGTATTATGATCTTACAATAGTAATAGAAATGGGCAAAGTTGTCTCTTTAAAAATAATTTCAAATAAACAAACATAAAGAAACATTAGGTGAATTAACATGTCAAAACAAAGATCAAGACTCATTATTAAACGACTAAATAGAATAAATGAACATAGAAATTTTAAATCATAAAACCAACACCTAATCAAAATAAATAAAAAATGTGCACAAATTACGGAAAAAATACGAGTAACTGAAATGTAGTGTCCAGATGTAGCTCACATAATAATATAGTATTATTGGGCAACGATGAACACCTAAAGAAAGAGAAACATCAGAAAAAAAAGGAAACCCCAAATCGATCTAACAGAAACCCTCTCAGGTTAATTTCCCAGCCATGTAACGGCCTCTACCGATTTTTATCACGGTAGATACCTGACTATATGCCTGGATTTCAAGTTCAATTCAATAACAAAAACAACAGATTCATCGAAAATCAACAACGTTTCATGATTAGAAGAACAAGCATTTTAAAAAACACTAAATTCAATCGAAACTAAGATAAAATTAAAAAGCGAGAGAAAGAGAGGGAGAGGCGAACCCTAGATACAGAGATGACGAATGAAACTCTACACTCCACTGATCCGTTTTTATAGCACGCAGCGGAATTCGTGGTTCGGTTGAAGATACGGTGGAATTGGAATTAGGGTTTACAAATAGGGCTTGGTAATCTATCTTGTTGGGCCTTGGGCCTTTTATCTAACCAGAAGGAGAAAAATCTACTAACACCTCTATCATCACCGATGTTGATCCTCTGTGTTGCATGCTGTTTTGTCTGTTGTTCATTTTGCAGGTTGGAATCATCGATACTAAAATCAACAAGGTCCGGCATGGAAAAAGGTTGAAGATATGTGTTGGGATCATCACCATAGTATGGTTTCAAGAGTGAAACATGAACAATAGAGTGGATTCGTGAAGATGAAGGAAGATCCAGAAGGTAAGAGACATTACCCACGCGTTTGATGATGCGAAAAGGGCCAAAATATCATTTAACAAGCTTCGGCGAGACAAGTCCACTCACAGAGGACTGTCTGTATGGTTGTAGCTTTAACAAGACTAAATCCCATTCTTTAAAGGTAAAAGTTATTCTTTTAAATTTTTCTTGCTTCTCCATATGAACTCTGCTTTTTTTTAAATGTGATTTCAACTCAGTGAGAACATGTTGTTGTTGTTTCAGTGCCAAATCTAGGGCGTCATCCGTAGCGGTGCCTTCCAAATAATCTGGTATATGAGGGAAGGTTAGGTATATAAACTCGGTCTTTGTAGTAAAGTAGGCCATTTGTAAAATGATGCTCACTGTTGGTATGGTGTTGTCCTGTCCTGGTTATCAAATTTTGACCGCAACTATCTGTTTGATAAAAATATCGCAGGGTGGTGAAGAGATCTAGGATGGTCAAAGACACAACTAAAAGCATCGAATCATCGGTTGTGAACTTTCTACTCAAGGCATTCGCTGCAAGGTTCGATTTCCCCGGTTTGTAAAAAATTTCAAAATCAAAACCTTGTAATTTTGCTGTCCACTTTTGTTGTTCATGTGTTTGGACCTTTTGTAGAAACAAATTTCGTAGGCTTTTCTGATTTGTGTAAATGTGGAACCTCTGACCAATGAGATATTGACGCCATTTTTTGACAGCTTCGGTGATGGCAAACATTTCACTGACGTACAAGGATGCGGCTTGCATTCTTGGACACATATTTTTACTAAAGAAAGCAATAGGATGACCCTCTTGAGACAAGACTGAACCAATGGCGACTTAGGATACATCTGTTTCAATAATGAAATGTTTTATAAAATTTGGTAGAGCCTGGACTGACATGTCGATCATTTTTTGTTTTAGCTTTGTAAAGGAACTATCAGCCTCTGTACTCCATGTAAACTTAGTGGAATGCAACAAGTGGGTGAGATGAGTGACGAGAGTGGCGTGATTTTTAACAAAACAATGATAAAATTCGATGAGGCCTAAAAATCCACGGAGTGTCGTGAGGGAACAAGGCGGAGGCCAGTCCAAAATGGCTTTTACTTTCTCTAAATTGGGTGCAATACCACCTGCTGAAATGACATGTCCCAAGTAATCAATTTGTTTCATTGCAAAAACACACTTAGACAACTTCACAAAGAAAGTCTAAGCCTTTTATAATTCAAATACCACCTGCAACCGAGTTAGATGATCACTAAAATTATCATTGTAAATTAGAATATCGTTAAAAAAAAGAAGCCCAAAACGCCTTAGATAAGGCCTTAACAAATCGTTCATAGCAAATTAGAATATCATTAAAAAAAAGAAGCCAAAACGCCTTAGATAAGGCCTTAACAAATCGTTCATAGCAGATTGGAACATAGAAGGCCCATTTGTCAGACCAAAAGGCATAACTAGAAACTCATAGTGACCATCTAAAGTGTGAAAAGATGTTTTATATGTATCTTTCTATGCAAACCAAATATGGTGGTAACCGGAGCATAAGTCTATCTTGATAAAAATGGTAGTTGAGCCTAGCTTATCTAATAGTTCATCTATAGTTGGAATAAGAAATCTGTCCTTAATCATTACTGCGTTCAAAGCCATGTAATCCATGCAAGAACGCCATGTTCCATCTTTTTTTTAACAAGTAAAACTGGTGACGAAAAAGGGCTGTTAGAGGGGATGATCGTACCATCATGCAACATTTCCTGTATCAGGGTGGTCATGGTTTCTTTTTTTGAAAATAAGGTTTGACATTGATAGAAGGGGTATTCGGTAAAAGGGAAATGTGATGGTCATGGGGTCTAGGTGACGGGAGGCATTTGGTGGTTGGAAAATAGGTTGGTATTGTATTAATAGGTTAGCAAGTTGCGGTGGGAGAACTGTATATAGGGTGTCCGTTGGAGAACTGTTTTGATCATGTGGTGGTTGGGGGTTTTTCTACTGGTGCTATGAGCATTAAATGGAAGGAAGCAATGGTATATGTGTGGATGAGTTGCCGCAATTGGTGGAAAGTAGTGTGAGTAGGATGAGATTTAGGGTCACCGGTCAAAGTAATGGATTTTTCTTGATATTGAAAAGTAAGGGAAGGTATAGGGAAATCACCTTGAATGGGGACCCGAAGTTCTTAGCCAAGCCATGTCGAGCACAACACCAGCTCCTTCTATAAGTAACAAATAGAAAGGAATGGTAAACTGTTTATTTTGAAGAAATATTTTAACATTGTTGCAGATTCCTTTGCACTATAAAAATGGGAACCATTTTCCACCATAACTGAAAATTGATTGGTGTAGTCTTAAGATTGAGGTGATGAGCAATTTGCGGCTGTATGATATTGTGGGTACTACCCGTGTCAACAAGTACCATTACACTTAGACCACTAATTAAGCCTTTAAATTTGAGTGTTTATGGGGAGAATTAACCTGATAAAGCTTGGGGAGAAAGATGGAAATAAGTATCATTCGGGTCCAGATCACTAGGTGGATCGCTACTAATATTAATCTCTTGTTGATCCTCCAATGAGGCATCTGCAGCCCATAGTATTAAGAATCTGCTAGTAGAGCATTTATGACTCATGACAAACTTTTCATCACAATTAAAACATAAATCTTGAGCTCTTCTTTCTTGTAATTGAGCTTGGGTAAGTCGTCAAATAGGTAGTTTGGTCGTGAGTGCGGTGGGGTTTTTGAGGGTAGTTGGGGTGGTTTGGGTAGTTGGGGGCTGTGTCTTAACGTGTTGCTGATTCGAAAAGGAAGTGTTTGGCTTTTGGTAGTGTGAGTGAAATGGTTTAGAAAATTTGGACTTTGAATCTTTAAGTTTAGATTCGATTAACTTGGCAAGGCCAATGGCTTGTGAGTTTCAAGTTGGAGACCAGAAATAAAACAATTTAAAATGGCATCTTGAGGTAACTCAACAACCTGATTTTCTAATTGCTCAAACTTGGTTTGATATTCCACAACTGACCCATCTTGTTTCAATTTAAATAACTCAGTTTGATGATGTTCATAAGTGGAAGGACCAAATCTTAACTCTAAAGCCTTTGTAAAAGAAAACCAATCGATTAACATGTGATTTTGATGCAACCATTTAAACTAACATAATGCATCCCCTTTCATGTAAAAATAAGTTAAAGATAAATGATTTTCAAGTGGTAAATTGTAAAAGCTGAAAAATTGCTCAGCTTGAAATAACTACTCCAAAGGGTTTGACCCATCAAAAAGAGCTAGTTCAAGTTTTGGAGATCTAAAGGGTGGTAATGGGGGTTTCTGTGATATTTGTTGGTATGTTGTTTGGTGGGTAAAAAGGGTATTATAGGGATGGTTTGGTATAAAGGTCGATTGTGGATGGAGAAAAGATGGATATGGTGGAAAAGGTGGTGGTGGTTGTGTGGATGTGAAGCGTGGTGGTGGTAAGGTCACCGCAGGTGAGTTAAGTGTGTGGGTATACGTGGTTGAGGTACGTAATAGGGTGTTAACAAATGTGAAAACAATGGTGGCTGGGGCGGTTATTATAGGGGTGAAGAAAGGGTGTGAGTAAAATCTGAGGCGCTCACGGCTGATTGAACAGTAGCAGTCTGCGGCTGTTCTTATTGTGTAGAGATTTTGTGGAGGATAGTCATGATAGAGTCATACCGAGAATCCGCAATCCTTTTTTCATTATCGAATCTCGTATGAGTTTCCCCAACTTGCTGAGCAAAATCCGCAAGCACTCTATCAAATCTTTCATCAAATTGCAGCTGGTTTTTTTGCATAGCATTATCCAAATAAAGATGAGTTAAATGGACAACTTCTTCCACAATATCTTTTAAGGAAGGATTGGTAAGTTTTAGAGGAGCTATGAATTCAAAGAAAAGAAAGCATCAATGATAGACTATACTAGATTAAATATAGATCTAAGAATTACATAAAAAAACAATAAAATAAAACAACTTTTCTCTCTGATTCGAAACAACATACATAATTAATGTACGGTAAGGTTTACTCCACTAGATGGACCATAGACCACTACAAAGACTAAAACAAATATCCAAATAACAATTGAAAATACTAAATGCACTCCTTTAATTTAAAATATAGTCCTTCAAAAGTATTGATATCTTCTTCTCCTTAATGCACCTTTCATTCTTCATAACACCCTCTGTCCTCTCTTTTCCTTGTGATTTCCTCATATGCTTTTATAGTGATTGAGATGAAATTGATTGTCAATTAGTGAAGATTTGTATCTGTGTCCTTTTGAAGATTATGCAGATTCGAAAAACCCGAGTTCCTGGTTTGAAAAATCCTTCTGTTTCTGAAGATTAGTTCATGCACTTTTGGTCTTTAATTTGATTATAACACAAATTAGCAGAGATTTGATTTGGAGAGCAAGTTTGAATTTTATTTTGTTTATATCTTGAATCTTAATTTGGAGTTTGATTGATTTTCTTCAAATAAATTGAAGATATGATTTTTGTGATGAAGATAGTGGCAACTTGGCAAGCTGCTTTTGGAATGGAATCCGTGAGAAGTGGAAACTGATAGAAACCGTGGCAACCAATTCAATGTCAACTTCTTCTTTTTTATATATATATTTTTATACTAGAAACAAACCATAATAATACTATAAAATTTAACTAATAATAATAAAACAAACTTCTATATATTTTTTTTATTTTTCCTGATTTTATAAAAACTAAAATTGACTAAACTTTATTAATATACAAGAATGAAATTCTATCCTAAAAGAAAAACCAAGAATTAATGCTATATCCTATAATCAACATATTTCCTTTTCAAATAAGAAATTAAAGTCCTAACATTTAATAAAATATAACAGAAATAAAAAATCTAATTTTTCATACTCGTAAAACTTATAATAAAATATCTAAGATTGATAAATAAATAAAAAATAAGAAGGGAAGAATAAACAAAGTTAAAAAAAAAACTTAGACAAAAATAACATTAAAAAAAAGTCAATGATATTTATTCTCGCAACCTTGTGATTAAACTTCTAACTCATACATTCTTATCAATTCTATTAAATTATTTATCTGAAATTAAAAGAGTTGACAAACATATGAAGAGTAAGCAAATATTTATTATTTAAAAATATAAATAATTTAAAGTAAAGTAAAATAGATTAATATTAAAATGTTAGTATAAATAAATAAATAAAAAATTATAAAAAGCCAATGTTAAAAATATTTTAATTATAGAAATATGACAGACAAATTTAGGGTATGACAATGAGCAATCAGACAACAATCACAAAACTCATATTGGCTCAAAAATCTTATCTCAAACATGTTCAAAACAAACGGGAATAAATCCCAATACCACAACCAACTTTAATTTCTTATTCCAAACATCAAAACTGAAATCAAAATGGAATTAGACTCATGTACCATTTCAAATCAAATTCAAAGCATGAACACAAAAATTGAACAAAAGTTTCCATCATTTTACTAGTATCCGGACAACAACAATAAACACGCAATGATGCTCAATAAGTCCATCTCAAATATGTTCAACACAAATGGAAACACATTCGATGTCACAACCAAAATTCCTCATTCATATTTAATGCAAAGTTAACATAGATACATTAAAATTTCATTTAAATTTAACACAAATGACATAGTATCGACATCTAAAACTTCATCATAATTTATCACTAAAATCTCACAAATATAACACAAACAAATACCATAATACAATCAAAACTTCACCATTCGGTTTTATCACAACAACAATATCAAGACATTAAACTAAATGCAAATGGTGATAGAGAAATTGGATTTTACCACTCAAAGAAAATGGTGAACCAAAAGCAATGGTGATGATAGCTACAAAGGTGCTTGGACGAAAGCTTGAACGTCGGAGTAGCATTGGTGACGCGTGAGTTTAGTGGTCGGAGGCTGAACGGATGAAGGGCCGAACCATTGTATGGTTGAGCGTGACAGCAGAGGTGGGGAGAGCTTCATGCGAACTGAAGTGTGATGGATACGCAGTGGGATGAACGAACATAATGGACGGAGGGAGAAGCTGAGTATGGTGAGAACGCAGAAGACGTGAGGGAGATGATGGAGGTGTGGGCGTCGAACGAGCAGAAGAACAACATAGGGAGTATGAAGGGATGGGCATGGTGACTGTGATCGGTGGATCTGGAACTGACTGTTTAACGCTGGTTCGCGAAATGTCGCGGAAGCAAGAGTCGCCACCGTCTTTTATTTTCTCCAAATGGAAAGGACAAAAGCACAGAAAAATTCCTTAAAGAGATTGCTCTCGGTTCGGGAGGTAGGTTATAGAAAGGGAAGGTGTTAGCACCCTTTCTATCCATGGTTATCCATGGGCTCTTAGATACTTGCTCAATGTGTTTTCAAAAATGTTTGTTTGCTTTTCAGAGTGGGTTTGAAAAAGTTTCGTTTAAAATTTCAGTTCGACTCTTGTATCGGTCCTCAAGAGTGTTTGAAAAATTGCTTTCGAAAGCTTTTTGAAAAAGGTGTCGGTGTGAAAAGTATTTTTGATTTGTCTTTGAAATTAGAGCAAGTATCTAGAGTTATCTACCTACCCTAAGGAATTCGTCTGTGTAGATGTCCTTTAAAGTAGTGCCATCCCACCATTGAGAGGTAGGTAGCACCACCGTTGGAGGTGTTAGGGTCAATTCGAGGTTCGGGACATGGTGATCACCAGAGCAATGGGAAGACACCTTAGAAGCTACCCTCATGCCAGGTTCCCGGATCATGAGGACTTACTAAGACATCCTCTACTCGACGATCACCTTTCGAGGCAAGGCAACAGTGAGGCGTACCCTAGGGGTGGTGTGTGATTTGTGTGTCAGATTCAGTTATTTTGTCTTGTCATGTCAAAGTGATCTATGCGTTTATTTTTATTTTAGGCCATTCATTCTTGCATGCATTTATTCAACAGTTAAAATTTCTTGCATACATAAGTTGTTCTACTTTGGCCATTTGGCTTTTGGCTTTTGGCCATTTGCGTTTTGGCTTTTGGCCATTTGCGTTTTGGCTTTTGGCCATTTGTGTTCTAGCTTCAACGTTCCCTTAATGTCTGGCTTAATGTCTGCCTCGCCATGTATTTGACTTTTGGCTTTTGGCCTTTTGGCTTTTGACTTTTGGCCATTTGGCTTTTGGCCTCAACGTCCCTTAATGAACCTGCATGGGATCCTGTCTAAACCTGTAGTGTTGAATCTCATGAAAACATTAAATAAAATCATAAAATGCAAATAAAGCCAATATATGAAGAAATTTAATGTTTAGGCACAATATGGCATGTATGAATGATTATACCCTTTTGATCATGGAGATCAAATCAACCTTACCCTTACTGGAAAAGTAGTGACATGAATGATTTTATGCCCTTTGGATCATGGAGATTAAGCCAGCCTTACCCTTACTGAAGAAGTAATAAGATGTTGGTTTGTAACTGAGATGGCTTGTTTGTAGTGAGAGAGGGATTTGTAATAAGGATTTCAATGTTTTAGGGTTCTTGAAAGAGTTTGATATTCTAACAGTGTTGTGGCCAGGTTTTTTTTTCTCTCTTTTTCTCCTCCTTCTCCTCTCTCTTTTTTTCTTTCTCCTCTCTGGTTTGTGTGAAAAGAAAGTGATTATATAATGGAAATTAGGGTAAAGCAAATGGGCTTTGAATGTGCAATTGGGCCTCCAATATTCACTTGAATTCGTCACTTTCCAGGCTAAATCGCAGGGACTTAAGTGCATTTTTTGAAGTTGAAATGTGAAGACAAAATGTAGCCGACATCGAGAACTAACTCCTGTCCGAAAATCGACTCAATCGGATAAACGGTGAATTAGTTATGAATTTTTGAAGTTTCAGCTCAGACAAACTTATTTTGGGCTCCAGTGTCGGCTCTGACACGTTCTTCAATAAAAAACTGGTATTGATCGGTGCATAATTTGGTCTCGACTTTTGAAGCAAAGTTGTAGATCTATGAGTCAGTGACCTTGTGTAAAAATATGAATTCAATCCGATAAAAATTGACCGAGTTATGAATTTTCGAAGTTTCGGCTCAGATGAAATAATATTCAGCATTCAGGATTTTCAGCGTGTCATGCACTCTGAGCAAAAAACGAAGGCCTTTTGAATACCGTTTGAACTCAATACCTTCTATGAAAATGTAGCCAACTCAATTTGTGAAATTTTGGCACCGGAACCAGCTCGATACGATGAAAATCGACCAAGTTATGATTTTTTGAACATGACGCAAATAAACTTCTGTCACAAATTTCTGCACGAAAATACTTGATAAATCCACATTTTTGAAGACTTTCTGATCGAAATTGGCTTCCAGCCGTGAGAGATGAAAACGTAGATAATGTCGAGACGGAATTTTGGCCACCAGAACGGGTTCAAAACGAGCCACGATCTTCAAGTTATGAATTTTTTAGCGCGTAAAAACTGCACTTTCAGCACACTTTTTCACCATATTTCTTCAAGAAAACTCACACATTCGGATACCTTCTTTAAAGAATTAACTCTTGAGCCGAACCTGAATTTGAGAATATGTTATCAGAGATATCTTGGCGAAAGAATACCTGAATATGACGCGCCGGGTTGGACTTGTGAATTTTTCTTAGAATATTTTGAGAAATATGGGAGGGCAAATTTTGGGGTACAACAGTTGCCCCTGTTCAATCTTCTTAGACCTGAGGATGCAGATTGGCTGACGTGCCTTTCGTAATCCGAAGGTGGAAGATGATTGAACACTAAAGTGCCCAGAAATTTGCGCTCACATAGTAGCAGTGTGATGATGGGAATGGGCTTATAGATGCCATTTGGAGATTGATGGATAGGATGATGGGCTTATAGATGCCATCTGGATGTTGATCGCGTAAGAGATTCCTTAGCGAGAACTTGCATACCTGCAAAAGAAAAATGAGTACCTGACACGTTGCAGGAGCTGGTTTTCAGATGCTTGGTATAGATGTGTCCTGACTGGTTACAGGAGCTGGATCTGGAGCTTCAAATGGCGATGAATGGACCAGGGATGGTTACTACCTTAGCATGAACGGTAAGAGAACCTTGGGTGACTTTAACTTCAACAATGCTCGTTGAGAAAAATCTTGGGTGTCTTCTACTGGGATAAGAATCAGGGAGATCTTAGGGTCGATCTGACTGAACCAGAGGAGGCCTTTGACTGGATAAGAATCAGGAAAATCTTAGGGTCGATTTAACTGAACCGGACAAGGTCTTGGAATATCTTCAACTGGATAAGCATCAGGGAGATCTTAGGGTCGATCTGACTGAACCAGAGAAGGCCTTTGACTGGATAAGCATCAGGAAAATCT